AGCAGCCCTCTCTCCCACAGTGGGACATGTGTGATATTCCTTGGACACTTCCACCTACCCCAAAACCAGAAAGGACAAAAAACCAAATGGTGAAACTGATGAGAGTCTCCACCAGTTTGCCAGAAAAAGTCAGTCCCATCAACAGCCTAAAATTCAGGCTCTCCCTACTGTCTCAATGTTAATGCCTTGCTAGAGGGAAAAACAACCTTAGCTGGGCAATAGCTAGGCCTCCAGTAAGTCTTTAGCAAACTCCCTCTTGACTTTTTGTCCCCAGCCTCCATAAAATGGTCACCCCCACACTTACAGTGCAGGTCTTCCTGCCCATGAGTCCTGTCCCCGTGCTTTCACAAAATCACCTTTTTGCACCAAAGCCGGCTCCAAGAGTGTTTTCTTGGCCGTTGGTGCCAGACCCCACGAACCCCCCATCACCCCAAAACTTCAATAGGATCATGGAGATTTCATTTTCATTGTGGTTTTTAGTTTTCTTTAATGCCCCTGTGCTACACTGGGAATCAGATGAAGAAAAAAATTGTCAAGGTCCAACTTCTACATCCACTGCATTTCGTTCATAGAATCTCTCAGAGTTAAGTTATAATGTGAATGGTGAGGAAATGTAAGCTTTTTGTATTAACTTCAAATGCATCTTCTGGAATTATAAAATGCTGTATGCATTTAAAGAATTCTAAAGCAGAGATGTACTAAAAACTTTGTGGGTTCAACAAACCGTGGAATTTCCTCTTTCTCCCAGAACAAAACAATGTCTAGATTCTTGGCACTGCTTATAAAACGTTATGTAAAGTGATACATAAAACAAACACCTTAGCATCTTAGATTGTAAAATCCAGACACTCTGTGATGACATTGACTTGAAGGAAGTATAGTTAAGGAGACAGTGAGGGGGAATTATTTCTGTTAATTCTTAACAGTTGCAAAAGACTGACAGAACAGAAGTGTCCTATGGACCAATGTTGATACTTAACGCGTAAAAACAGAGAATGTATTTATTGTTCTCTGTAACCATCTGTATAAAATGGTATATATATCATTGACATCTCAATAGGATGAAAGCATTTTCCCATCTATTTGTGGTCTTAGAAGTAAGTGGGTTTTTTGCTTATGAGTAAATTAAAGGTTCAGAACATGGCTGGGGTTTGGTTTGTTAGTTACAAGTGCTGGATAGATTCAGGAATTGGGGTTGCACGGTTGCACTGGAACTTTCCTTCTGTCAGTAAAGTCTATCCTTGGGGTTCAGCAAACCATTCTTAATATAATTGAGTACTTTCACATTGATTAATTAATTTTCAAATGACCCAATTAAGGCTCCCTTTGAAAGGTTCTGCGCCCCATTCCCTCTTGTTCTGGACAAGCTCCATGAGACAGGGGTAGAGTTCTCTTGCTGTAGCTCCAGTGCTGAGACAGTTCTGTGTCTGTAAGGTGTATAATAAAAACCTATATATACTGAATGAAATAAATGGGGGTTGCTGTCTCGTGCATCTAACATGTCTCTGCCGATTCTCCGCCACCATGGATTTACCAAATGCTGGGGAAGCTCTGAGAGATTTTGTTGTAAGAATTTTAAGATACTGGGAGCAAAGTGGGGTTTGCCTCTAAAAGGAAGGAGCTACAACTGTGTGCACACAAACCGTTCCTGGATCGGGCACTGCAAGCTGTGTTATGAAGCAGAGCTGCTGTCTGTCCCTTAGCCTTGAGATCGTTTTAGTGACTTGGTTCAAAGGGAGAGTGTCGACAGTGAACTTCTTGAAGCCCTGACGGGAATGGCACTCAAGAGTCCAGGCTTTGAGTGAAGCAGGGGAGTAAACACTCATGGTTTCTGCAGCTCCCCCTGGAGATTCTGTCACACTGCTAAAGTGCAGGAGAGGAGAGCATGGAGAACATGCCTGTGCGTAGACCAGGTTTGGAGCTACGTGCTACATCTCCTTTCAGACTGTGTGAAGGCCAGTGGAGAGGAGGTAGGTGTGTGAGGATGTCTTTAAACACAGGCCAACTTCTGGAAAATAAATCGTAATGTTGGATGATTCCTGGCCTCCTAAATTAGTCTGTTTCCATCGTGCTGATCAGAGGTGGGGGTAAGCAGCAGGAATGGGCCTGTGAGTGCTCTCAGGAGAGGGTTTCCGCTGCCATGGTGAATTACACACGAGGCATTTGTGAAAACCTGAAAGAGGATGGCTAAACAGGATGGTTCAACCATCTTGCTGATGTTGGCCCTGGGGGCTGTGCCACCGCCCTTTGTATCTGGTAAACACCTGCCATTCAGTTGACCTTCTTATTTAGCTCTTACCAGCAAGAGCATTCCTGTGGTAAGCCATTACCTGCCCCGGGATTCTAAAACAATCAAGTGCAGAAAGGAAGGCGTTTCTTAGAAGGAACACATATTCATTTTGTTTCCTCTTGGCTTGTGAAGGTTTAAAATGTAAATATATTACAAACCATAGTCCACAAGTAGATTTAGAAAGGAAAATCTTTTATCCCTTTCTCATTATAATGGTGGAGACAGAACATTTTATTTAAATGTCATAGATTTAAACTAATGTACACCTTACACTTGCATATACACAAAAGGCAAATGAGAAAAAAGAGAATATTAGCACTAGGAATAACTTTGGAGACCAGCTGGACCAGCCCCTACTTTTCAGAAGGAAAATGTAAGGCCAGAGGTTAACACAATTGCTCAAGAATACACATAAAGTTTGTATTTAAAAATTTTTTAATTTGAAATTCAGGATTTTACCCATAGTTAGTATATAGAGTATTTCCCTTATATCAATGTTGTACAGGTAAAAAAAAAAGTCACATGAATTTCTTGAAATTTAGTCCCAGGCATCAGATAGTTGTTAACCACAATACTCACAGACCTACTTCATTCTGGGTGGAAAAAAAGGAATTTACATTTTTTTTCATGTGACAGGGAATTTTGATTCTAAAACAGCCCAGTCCCCAACAACTATTTTCTAGCCTTCCTTTAAAATGTACTTCTTCGGGGCGCCTGGGTGGCGCAGTCGGTTAAGCGGCCGACTTCAGCCAGGTCAGGATCTCGCGGTCCGTGAGTTCGAGCCCCGCGTCGGGCTCTGTGCTGACAGCTCAGAGCCTGGAGCGTGTTTCAGATTCTGTGTCTCCCTCTCTCTCTCTGCCCCTCCCCTGTTCATGCTCTGTCTCTCCCTGTCTCAAAAATAAATAAACGTTAAAAAAAAAAATTAAAAAAAAAATGTACTTCTTCAGGGGCGCCTGGTTGGCTTAGTCGGTTAAGTGGCCGACTTCAGCTCAGGTCATGATCTCTCGGTACGTGAGTTCAAGCTCCGGGTCCGGCTCTGTGCTGACAGCTCAGAGCCTGGAGCCTGTTTCAGATTCTGTGTCTCCCTCTCTCTGACCATCCCCTGTTCATGCTCTGTCTCTCCCTGTCTCAAAAATAAAACGTTAAAAAAATTAAAAAAAAAAATGTACTTCTTCAGAAGCTTAAGACGTAATAGATTTCCCTATGTTCCAGCTAAGCAAAGCCATTTAGGATCTTTTTATATATTCATAGGTCACTTCCCTTTCTTCTTTTGGTGACCTGGCTGTATATCTTTTGCCCTTTTGCAGGGAGGGGGAATGGAGAAGGATGGTTTTTGAATTTTTAACTCTCTGAATATGCCTGTTTCCCCTGTCCATTATCTAAGTTGTAATTTTTTCTTCTGGTTTGTCAGTTGACTTTGCTTATTCTCTTTTTCCCTACCTTCCATGATTTTAAAGAAAACTTCCAGTTGATGTTCGGCTCACTCTTTATATTTATCAAGGTCGATTTGGCAGAATACACTCTAAAAGCAGCTTAAAACCCAGGATTACACGGTAGATAGCAGTAGTCCTATGCGAATCTATTGTTAAATATCCGGGAAGATTGTGACATTTTCTAGATTATTAGCATGACCCATAATATCACACCAGATAATTTTTGATCCGTAAGTATGTGGACTAGTTAAGGACTCCAAGACCACTTATTTATATATTAATTTTTTAACTTCTTTTTTAAAAAAAAATTTTTTGTTTTACCATTTATTCATTTTTGAGAGACAGAGAGAGACAGAGCATGAGCAGGGAAGGGGCAGAGAAAGGGGGAGACACAGAATCTGAAGCAGGCTCCAGGCTCTGAGCTATCAGCACAGAGCCCAATGCGGGGCTCGAACTCCCGAACTGTGAGATCATGACCTGAGCCAAAGTCGGACGCTCACCCGACTGAGCCACCCAGGAGCCCCAATTTTTTAACTTCTTAAAAGTCATAGTTTCTTAGTTTATTTAGTGTATTCTGAATCCATACAAAAGTAAGCCAGTTGCTTTTATAATAAAATTATTCTTTTATTTAAAATAGTTATGTTTTTGTAAAGAATAGAGTAAAAGTGCTTTTGAAATAGAACTTAGGTAATATCCAAAGCTCATTGTTTCAGATATTTCTCTTGAAAACCTCTTCTCCAGAATCATTTAATGTTTTTTTAATAAACAGAAAATATCCTTTTTTCTAAGGAAAGTAAAAACTGATATAGCTATATTTTACTCAGATCTATAGGAGGAGATTTTGCTCTATAACAGAAAGCCTAACTATTTAAGTAAGACTTGTGTATAAAGAAACATACATGAAGAAAGGTTAGCAAAATATCAAAGGTTAGCAGAAAAATCAAAATATTACCAGCGGTTTCACAGAGTAGTATAATTCTCTGTGACTTATTTGTTTTTCACATCTTCCCTTTGGATTTTCAAATTCTCGTTAATAAGCCCATTCCGTACGTAGTAGGACATTTGAAAATAAGAAAGGAAAATAACAAACTGGTAAACCAAGATCTTAGGCAACACCTTTGTCCTTTAAGTAAGTGGGGCTATTTATATAGCCCAAGGGCAGTCTTTTCCCCTAAATGGATGGTGTGTGCTTTGAGCACAAGGACAGAGGGTGAAGGAGTGACAGTAATCCAAACTAAGAGGAGGGAGCTTTTCCTAGATTCCGGGGGCACTTCGGCATCTTCAAGTGCACATGCTTGCATCTCTGTGAGGTCACTTCCAGTTGGGATTTTATGCGTTTCACATCTTATTCTGTTGAAATGAATCGCTTCCTTCCCGACCAACATTTTAATTCGAGGTGTTCTCCAGCTTTATATACTTTGTCAAGGAAGGACACTGAAATAACAGGATATTTTTATTCAGATGACAGCATGGCTGAAATGAATTACCCAGAACTTACTGGTAATAATCATGAGGACAGTATTACACCAATTATGAGTTCAGAAGAAGTGTTTATTGCCTTCTTTAGCGGTTGCTGTGCAGGGCACAAGAAGGTATTGCATAAGCTGAGACACTTAATAGATAAGAGAGAGATTAATGAATAAGCTGACCTTTCCCCGTTGCTGCTTTTATCAAAGGAAAAATGTTTCTCAGCGTTGGGCAACTAAATAAAAAGAGCCTCATTCCAGAAACAGAGGTTCCTCATAACACACCAAATGTTTCTGAGTCTCTTCGGAGCCATGTTGTGGCAGGGGAAAGCAAACAGGAGCTGGTAGTTTGGAGGAGGGCCAGCCTCAGAGAACAGGTCCTCGTCCCCCACCACCGTCAAGACTGGAAGAAATCATTGTATCATCCATGATGTCCAGATGCTTCCCTGCCCATGCTGAAGCCTCTCTTCTTCCTCAAGGCCGGGAAGACTGTCCTTCCGCCAGTGGACAGATCCCTGTTGAGGCCCATCGGCTCACCGGACACCCCATTATTACTGCCGCCTGATCCCCCATCATCGTTCCCTTTGTACCTCGTGACACGTCCCAACGCTTGGTTCCTGTGTCATCTTTGAACATTCTCACGTCCTTCAGCATGCAGCTGTGTCTTTGGAGTCTCCCTCTTTCCCTGTATCACCTTCTGCCCTTGCACTTGGCTCGGGTGGATGGGTCCTAAGCTTGGTACAGACACTAACTCACTCCTTGTCTGCCATATGTGGCCACAAATGAGCAACCTCGCTCCTGTGGAACACTGTGGCCAAAATCCCAATCTTGAAAAAGAGACTTGTGACAAATTCATTTCGGACTTCCTGTATTATTATTAAAACGGTGGTCAACAGTCAGTCTACACAATTTGATATGCACCTTGATGTCAAAAAACATTTCCAAAAAGTTAGTTAAAATGAAATTTCAAACAGTTCCCTCTCAAATATCTATACTTCTCATTTGATTAAGTCCATACACAGAAATTTTAGGAAATTTAAAAAGGAGTCATTACTCATAAGTTATCATGAGAAAGAAAACATAAGCACGATGCATAGTACATGTTACAAGTGACTATGTTTGAAGAACAGAAGAATGTGCTAGTGAATACAATAGTGGTAACAGGCCAAAAACAACAAATGTCATTGACTGCTGTGTGATAGAAGTTTTTAATGATAAAGAAAATGGTCTTCATTTGGTGAAAACAAATCGGGATTCGGTATTACACAGTGAATATACTCTCAGTGCATAATCTTGCAAATATTAAACAATATGTAAATAAAAGCAACTTAAAATACTAACCACTGGGTGGAAGCTATTACAGATAATTTTTATATTCTTTGTATTTTTATTTTCGATGTATTTTTGGCAATGAGCACTTATTAGTCTTGAAAGGTAACAGTTTATTTAAAACATGTTATAGATAGGAAGTGCTGTGAGTTTTAAAGAAAGACATCACTTTGGACTGGCACACTTTGGGAGAGCTCCTTAGATGAGTGAATTCTGAGCCTGATTAATGCCACTTAGATTGGAAAAAAAGGTGGCAAAGTGTTTACGTACATAACCAGGCAGGAAGGAGTAGAAATCAAATGATATTTTAAGCCCTCTTGTGAACTAGTTTTTAAAGTAACTTTTGGGGGCGCCTGGGTGGCGCAGTCGGTTAAGCGTCCGACTTCAGCCAGGTCAGGATCTCGCGGTCTGTGATTTCGAGCCCCGCGTCAGGCTCTGGGCTGATGGCTCAGATCCTGGAGCCTGTTTCTGATTCTGTGTCTCCCTCTCTCTCTGCCCCTCCCCCGTTCATGCTCTGTCTCTCTCTGTCCCAAAAATAAATAAACGTTAAAAAAAAAATTAAAAAAAATAAATAAATAAAGTAACTTTTGTAAAGACAACCACGCAGTCTAGGTCTCTGTGGCTTCTACTCAACTCTGCTATTGCAGCATGAAAAGCAGCCATAAATAGGCTAACGGTGGAGGAGGCTGTGTTCCAGTAACTTTATTTACAAAAACAGTCACTTTGTAGTCCAGTGATTTTTTTTTTTTATGTTTATTTTTGAGAGAGAGAGAGAGAGCACAAGCAGGGAAGGGGCAGAGAGAGAGGGAGACACAGAATCTAAAGCAGGCTCCAGGCTCTGAGCTGTCAGCACACAGCCCAACGCAAGGCTCAAACCCTCAAGGGTTAAGATGGTGATGTGAGCCAAAGTTGGACACTTAACCGACTGAGCCACTCAGGCGCCCCTGGTCCCGTGATTTCTAATATTCACTTCTACCTGTGTGCTACTTCGGTACACATAATTTGGTAATTTCCCTTTTCACCCCGGTCCTTTAGCAAACAGTTGTTGACCACCCAACAGCTATGGTAGTAGGCTGATACTTTGACTAGGTGGCATGCAGGGATGAGGTGTGGTGACAAGCCCCTGTTGGGGAGGACAGGAAACAGGTAGGAGAGCGCAGTCCTAGGAGACCTGGTGAGGCAGAGAATTCAGTGGGAGCCAGAAAGCAGGGGGAGGTAAATGCGAAGTCTCCACAGGATCCCCAGGTGATCCTGCACATTTAAGGGAAGGGGGAGCCAGGGGGACACCCAAGTGCCAAATGCCTGCGTTCCACAAGAAAACAAAAGCTTGCTTCTTCTCGAAGGTTTATAGCACCAGCGCACAAAAATACAGGAATGCTTTGAGAAAACAGTGCCCGGAGCACAGCGCTGACAGCCATCACCCAACCCCCTGGGAACAAGAATCTAAGAAAAGAACAACCAAGGCATTTCCAGTTCCTGAAGAACTTTCTATCTCCGGTGGCCCCAGTGATCCAGCCAGAGCGACGTCTTAGGCACATCCTGTTCTCACTTTCGCTCTGAGTTACTGACAACGTTATGAATTCAATATGTACATTAGGTACCTGCTGTTCTCCTGATTTGTTTGCACAGTTTGAGGACTTACACCGCTGTCTTCTTGAGGATGTAAATGGATACTCTCCTTACATTTTTCATCTGTAGTTTCGCTAATTGGCAGAGGGAGAAAAATAAGACAAATCATTTTATACATTTCAGTCTTGGAAGAAAGTAGTCAGTGGCTTCCATTTTGAAATTGAGGGCATAAGTTGCCTCGGGTTTCTGAAATCTTTGCAAGATATGTAAAAAGGACACAACCAAATCCCACCTCTCCAGACTAAATACCTCAGAGTAGGAAATAAAACTAAAACCATCCTGTACGTTGCCAGGAGACTAGAATTGCTTATACACAAGTGTCCATGCCTTCAAACGACATTTGCTTCCAAAGTCATTTTGACTGGTAAATACTGTTTACCACCAGGTGGTGACATTTAGGCTTCACAAGGGCAACAGCTTTGCACAACAATCTTACACAAGGCTTCCTTCTTCCGCTACAGCGAAGATGGAAGTTCTGTTTTGTGTA